CCCTCCGGCTCTGCTTCCGTCCCTGCTGTCTCTGCCAGCTACCCTGCTGGTGGCATGCCTTCCGGCTCTGCCTCCGTCCCTGCTGGTGTGCCTTCCGGCTACCCCGTCAGCGGCAAGCCCTCGGGCTCTGTCTCCGTCCCTGCTGTCACTGCCAGCTACCCTGCTGGTGGCAAGCCCTCTGGCTCCGCCTCCGTTCCCGCTGTCCCTGTCGTCACTGCCAGCTACCCTGCTGGTGGCAACGGTGGCTACGGCAACGGCACCGTCCCCTACGCCACTGGCGCCAGCAGCTCCATCATGACCGTGAAGCCCAGCAAGTCCGCCACTCCCTCGTACCCTGCCAGCTCCCCGTCGACGACTGCTCCCGTCACCGCCGGTGCCGGTAAGATCGTCGGATCCGGCCTTGTTGCTGGACTGGTTGCCATCGCCGCCCTTCTGTAGACGGTTTTTTGAAGAGACTTGTATTTAAGCGGTTGGTACGGCCCGGTAAATTGGCCGGTCGGCTATAATTATAATGTAATAACCAGCGTAGGCGTTTTTTGCCTGGCCCATGGTTGTATTTAGTTGTCCATATGTCACAATTCAGAATACAAAATATACCCCAAACTGCTTGTTTTATGAGTATTGTGATCTTTGATTTCGATTGCTATAATGATTTCATTTTTGCAAAGCATCATTGGTAATGACCGTCTTCGGTCTGCTAAGCTGCACTTGACTTGATTGTAGTCAGCAGAGCTTACTGCGCTCATGGGATCCAAAAGTAGACGTTGGAAATTGCAAGGATCTTTGGGGAGTCTAGAATGCTTCTCTCGATGAGCCGGTTTAGAGTTGATGACGTGCTGTACCACGTCCGTAAGGGGACATGAGCTACATGGAGTGGACTACCATCTGCCATATCGAAAGGCCATGCTTCCTCATACTTTTGAAGAGTCCAATTGAGTATGACCCGCCTCCGCCAATGGAACGTGTTGACATTGGTGCTTAAGCCTCGCGACCGTTGTAAGATGTGTTAGGGCCTCGGTACATGTCCAGGTAAGCAGGTAATCAGTACCTTTGCGTATTCTGAGGCGCCCTGCAGGCGTATGTGGTGGACCTTGCTTGAAAGCTGGCACTGCCTGCTGCTCATCCTAGGTCAAGAAGTACCAATCGATGGAGGTCCCAGTCATTCGTACCCAGGTCATCTTGGTAAGGGATATCCGCGATGCCAGGGCAGCACGACCTTTTCCCCATTAATTAGACACTTGACAGCTGACATTTCAACGTCGAGGCATCTGCCGTTGGTCATGGCTGGCAGCCACTGAGCATGGTATGTTAGAACGGGGCCAATGTGGCATTTGCCGTTGGCTGCGGCTGCTAGGGTTACACGCAGCCGCATTGGCAACAAACAATCCACCCTGAAAAAGTCTCCTCAGCGGACATTGCCATCTCTACTAGTAAAGACGAGAATGCAAAGGGAAAAGAAAGAATAAAAAAGGGCCTTCTGGCCCGGTTCCATGGTGCCGTAATGATCTCGATGCTTCGAATTGCGGATTCCGGAGTCAGGACTCAGGGGATTATGTGAGCGGCGACGCGTTCCGCTACGAAGAATATTGGTAAGTAAAATGGATACATCGCAGATAGCGGAGCAACGGCGAAGCTATTCCATACCGCTACCGTTGGGCGGGCCGCAAAGAGGAGTCAATTGAATTTGCAGGGGGCAGTGTTGAGAGAAGAAGAGAGAGAGGAAGCTTGTCCAATGAGCCCGAGCTTGTTGTCAAACGAATCAAAAGACATCAGAACTTCCCAAAGATCATAACTTCGCATTATCCGCTTGATGCATAAGATGTTTATTCAGCACTGAGAAGCTACATAGAGCTTGGTTGGCAGCACTGAGTTCCTTCCCTCGTGTACGAATTTGAGTGAATTGCGTGGGGAAGGAAGCTACGTACTGTGTATGTAGGTTAGGTACGTACTACCTACCAGTGCTATTGATAGCTCCCGCTGGGTGCCTGCCTTATCAACAAGCCAATCATCGTCTATGACGCAGTAACGCGCGACAACATCGGTAATTCACGACATGTTCCGACTCTAGTACCTATATGCGAAATCGCAGCCTTCTCACGTGCGTCTGTGAATGAACTTTATACTCGTCAAGAGGTCTCAATCTACAAGATTGAGATATTTACACACAGCAACAGAGAAAAGGCCCTGGTATTGGCGTGATGGCGTCTCAGCAAGACCTACAAGAGCTGCTCCGGCTCTTGACCATGGCAAAGGTTCCCATCAAGGACGCCATAATGCGTGTCAAGGCACTCCAAGCCAAGAACCTCAGAACGTATGCAGACATTTTACCCCACCAACGTATCGGACCTCGCGCTGACGCTCTACGATGCGCCTCAGGATACAGCAGATAGCAGAAGCACCCCTCTCTGACATTGAGGCTGCCATCACCGATGCAAAGGCGGCCAGGAGTCTTCACAATGCCTGTAAAGCCCGACTGAAGAATCCCAGTCTTTCGTCATCCAGCAAACGCGCGGGTGCAGAGCTCCTCAGCGCGGCGCAGAAACGCTCCAAATCATCCTCGTCCGAGGGCTTCCTAGACGAGCGGACCCCATTGCCTCCCGCCGAGTATGAGGCTTCCCTCGCGCTTCCCTGTGAGACTGACGAGGACATGATCTCTAGAACGACCTTAGTGACGAATCGTGCGCCCCTTGTTCTGGCATTCGCGGTGGAGCTACTGCGGTACACGATGCCAGAGCAGCCACCTAGTTCTCGGTTGAGTCTTGCGCAGGCTGTCGTCAGTGCCAATTCCCGGAGCAAGGCCGTAAGTATTGGACTCGAAAAGGGTCCCAGTGCCGATGATGAGGGTTGGGGTCACGGACAGCCAAGGATCAAGGTGATGGGTCGTGAGATCGCTGTATTGAAGAGGGGTGGGTATGAGTGGACAGGACAGGAGGAGAGAGAAGAGAAGGACAAGGTCAAGGAAGAGGCTTCTATGGCTAGTAGTAATACTGTGCAAGGATCGGAAGAATATGACACAAAGCGAGCCGAGCCTACGGCAGAATCGACCATTGAACAAATATCAAAAACATGGTCAGCAAGCTCGCCCGTCACGTTTAAGGAATCGACCTTTATTGTGCGGGCAACAAAAATCACACAGGTCTCGGAGCGACAGTCAAGCATGCAAAGCCTCTTCAAGGCAATACCCAACCTTCAGACAGCATCACATAATGCTTGGGCCTACCGAGTGAAAAAGCCAGACATGTTTGGCTCTTTCACCATCAGAGAAGGATCCGACGACGATGGCGAGTCTGGTTGCGGCGACTTCCTGCTCAAGACCATGCGCGAATCTGATACCATAGACACGCTCGTGGTCATGACGCGCTGGTATGGCGGTATCATGCTTGGTCCGGACCGATGGCGAATCATGAGGAATTGCCTCAAAGAGGCACTTGCTGAACGATTACGTATCACAGGCGAGCGTGCCACCCTGACTGGCGAAGCTGTTTGGGGTCTTGACGCGGAAGCGATGAAGCAAAAATCAACAACTGCGTCAACCGGCGCGAGATCACGCGACGGGGGCGTCGTGGGCATGCCAGTTCATACACCAGAGTCGGCACGGAACTACCTGATGAGGAGCTTTGCTGACCGAAAAGAAGAGGGCGTGGCGTCTGAAGTGACATCGCCGCCAAAGAAGAAGACCGCCAAGGTTCTCGAGACCGAGAAACAGGAGAATCTGGGGCGGCTACTAGGAGCGCTACGGCTGTTGTATGACAGTTGGGCTGATCATTTAAGCGCCGCCGAGCTCGACAGGCGTGCGTGGACCTGGTATTCCACAGTGCGTCCCGAGGTTGCGGGTGGACAGGCGGGATGGGGTGCCAAGGGTGACCTCAAGTTGAAGAGCATACTCGATTTACGGCGCAAGGAGTCGTAGGCATCCTACCCATGACAAAACGTAGCATGAAAATGATACCCCGTGTAGTTTGCTACACTCTGTTTTGGAGGCAAGTCGGAGTCACGACACCTGATATGGACGACGTGGATTTTGACATGTTCAGTTGAAATTATCTACTATGAAGTAGTATATGGTTGCGAAACCTTTCCATCTACAAAGATCATAAAGGCAACGGTTGCCGACTTTTCATGCCACGGCGACTAGTTCAACGGCATTGGTTCTTTATGTACCTACGTACTCACCATCCGCAGTTTCAGTCTGTAGATGCAACCACCCTCCATACCGCAATCTTGTTTTCTTGACTGGCTTGGAGAAATGATTGAGGCATTGCGCAAGCATTGGAAAACCTGTTGCATCCCGATATGATTCGACCATAGCCAAGGGCTGCATGTGGAGGTACAGCAGAAATGTACGCGCGAAGGTTGTGTATCCATTTACACTGTGATATCACATCATGTTCCGACCGGGATAGACACGGTGTAGAGTAGACATGATTACTTATTACGGTGCGAAGCCGAAATGTCTCTAGAAAAGCCAGTGAAATTCACCAAGATGTCACTTGCGGATTCCCATAAACTTTTTATGAGTTCACTCCCACGTCAAAGTCTATAGAGAATAAATTCCTCTTGAGATAAGAGAGGATCGATACAAAAGACGACAGGCGAAATGGGTTGAGGGGAAGGTCTCGATAGACTGTTGCTTGCTCAATGTTCACTAATCATCGTATATGGATGCGGGCCTAGGCAAGCTCGCCACTTCAGTAGCACGCGGGCATTTGCATTTGGGGGTAACCCACCCCGTCCAAACGCCTGCGCATCATTGAATAACAAACATGTTATGATAAAGGGAGAAAAGCAAATTCTCACATGGAGGTTGCAGCCGATGATTATATATCTTTCCAGTACTTCCTTCACGCACATGTATTCTAATCATTTGTGTGTTTACTGATCATGGGTGATTATGTATACATACATCATGCAAGCAAAGACACGATTTTGGTCCGTGACCACCTCGGCCAACAGTGTGGTCTGACTTTTCCCTTGCTTGATGCCTTGAGCTGGAAGAGCTGGGTGTTCTGCAAGGGATAAATTTTGCTTGAAGAGTTGGGGCAAGTGTTGACATGATTTGTTGGCTACCAAATAACCCTCGCATCAGAAATAGGAGCACCTCGGCTGCAGTGATCACGAGGATGTGCAAAACACAAAGACGATTATATGATCACCGCCCATGATTCAAGCGTCCATCTCCTCCGTCAAAGGTGCTATATAACGAATTGCTGATTCTCGAGTATAACTATTGTTTGATCAAACAATCTAAATCTCAAGCCAGGACCTTCCAGCAAGACAGGTATCCAACAATTTCTACATTTCATCCCAGCCGATACAATAGAAATTACCTTTCACCACATCTTCAAATCACAAGCTCCAACAATGCCCATCTGGCACGTTCTCCATCCCGATACCGTCTTTACAGACCCGCGCGACAAGGCCGAGCTCGTCAAGGCCATTGTCGGCTGTAAGTTCTCCATATGAGTTGCCGCATCCGCAGCATTCCCTCTCCCTTCTCTCGCCGGGTTCATCAAGGAAAACAATCACTAAAGCCTTCTTCCGCACCACAACAGTATATACCTCGGGCGGTCTCCCACCCTTTTACGTCAATGTCTTTTTCCACAAATTCGCCCCGGGCGACGCCTGGTCCGACACGCGGTATCAAGGCAGCATCGAGGCCTTGGATAAGACCAATGCAGTAGCCGGGGTGTCTCAACGCGAGCGGCCCTTTGTTCACTTTGAGATTGATCAGATTGCCGTCAACATTACCAACGACGAGTGGGCCAACAAGTGGTGTGAGAAGGTCAATGAGGTATGTACTCGAGGGGGGAGGGGTTGGCGGAAATATTTCTCTTCCCCGACGCTGACTTGCCAATGCGATTCATTTAGGCTCTTAAACCTCATATAGCAGACAAGGGTTATGATTGGGAATACCATATTGATGAAACACCCAGGTCGCTATGGCGTACAAATGGGCTGTCCCCGCCGCCTTGGAAGAGCGTTGCTGAGCGCAAATGGTTCGAGGCAAACCAGCCATTGCCGTACGATAAGAGCGGCGCGATATTGGCCGAGAATAAGCTGTAAAGATCAGGTGATCAGAGTATGGGGAATTCATTATTCGTGAAAATGTGCTGATCAAAGGACTGTAACATATTTATATGTGTTTAATACATATTGTTCAATCTGCATGACTTATTGATCACACACAAGTTTGTTGTTTCATGGTTATTATCACAAATTGCTAGCGGAACGTAGAGCAATGCTGAAAAAAAAAATTCTGCAATGATCTATATATTAATACAACACGAGCAAGCCCGCAATGTAGACAAAGGCGGCGATCCTAAACAACATGCCCAAGTGGCTCAGTGTCGTCGCTGCCCACCTCGAGCCTTCTGCGGTTGTTCTCAAGAGACATATAAGGGACAAGGTACAGGCCAAAAAGCAGCGCAGTTCACAAATCCATTCTTCCCATCACGCCCTTGACGCCTCTAAATGCCATATTCATCGTTCCAATGACTCAAGGTCATCATCATCGTCGCGTAGTACTTTTGCCGAATCAAACGCCAAGCGTGACCGTGTGTATTGGTATCGTGATCATTTCTGAAAGCAGTGACGTCTACCCTTGCCTATGCCTACAAAAAAAGGTTCCCCTGCCTAAAAATCGGACTGTGGAAACAATCCAGCACATGACGTGCAAGGATGCTGCAACGCTGGAACTCAAGCGCCCCGAGATTTTGTTTGGTGTCATGGAGAGAGAAAGAGAGATGCTAGTGGCATCAAAAATGACGATTAGTAGTGAGTGAGACGGCAATATTCTGTGTAGCCGTTGTATGGATGTGTTTTGTTGTATGACGGCTATGTATGTTGCGGGAGATGGGGCGAGCGGTGTGGCGCTCGTTAATTATGACAGGTTCTCGACGCTTCTAAAGATACTCTGGAACCTATCTCGTACCTCTCTGTCGGCCTTGATAAAGGGCTGATCGAAGAACATGTACTTCTCATTCCTAAGGAGTTCGAGAGTCACATAAGCCAGACTCCACGGCTGGGGCCAAAACCCAGAGAAACGCTCGAGGAGGATGCGAGCTATCTCCTGACGAATATCGAGCTCCTCTGGATCATTGACGTCCTGGCCCCAGAGCTCAAACAAGAGTTTGCTAAAGTAGCTTGAGTGAGGTCCAGTGGATCGCAACTCGTCGACGACGCTTGTCAGGAAGAAATAGCGCGCCTCGGGGTTCAGCTCATGAGCCAAAAGAGACAGCGTAGCCGCGTCGGGGGATCGGGGGTTGAACAGCTCACCACCATCCTGCTTTGCTCGGTTGATGGCGGACGTACCAATGTGCAACACCACAGCATTCACAAGGTTTGTGTTTGTTGTGATGGGCACATTTGCAAATATGGTTTGTCGAGCCTCATTGCGGCTGATGGCATGAGTCAAGTGAGCCACAGCATCCTCCGATGGTCCATGGTGAACCAGTTGACCAACGAGATCAAGCAGCCCGTGTTCTTCGAGATAAGCCTCGGCCGTGTTGTAAGGGATCATGGCGATCTCGATGGTGTCTTCACTCAGCTCATCTCCACGTGGCGTCGCCGACAGGATGATGTTGCGAATTTGCGTCGCATGTGGGGGAAGGAGGCCACACAGCTCCGCGTGGTGTCCGGCTACAAAGTCGGGATAATCGTGCTGAAGAATGACCATAAATTTGGTCGCCGCTCTGACAAACTCCTTGGCGACATCGGCCATATCAGTCACTTTGAGGTGTTCACTGACATTGCGCAGGAGAGCCGACAACAGCTGCATGAATTGAAACCAGCCACGAGTAGGTTTAGGGGTCAAGATCATTGGCATAAAGAGCCGGTGCTGGATCAATTCCAGCCAGTGGAAGGCGAAGCCGGGGAAACGCTCTGGTACAATTTGCACAAGAGTATCGGCCAGGCGCAAGAGAAGCTGCTTACGATGAAGGACGAGGTCGGTTGGAGAGGTTGCTCCTGACAATGCAGACTGATCTAGGACACGGTGCGCCTCGCAGAGCAACATGGCGAAGAAGCGATAGAACGCACGGGCGTTGAAGTGCTCGCCACGTTGTGTGTGATGATGATTGAGCACCAGTGATCCAAGCATGAAAACGGCATCAAAGACTACCACGATTCCGCGTCCAGCGTCATTGACTTGCATGAAGTTGACCTGAGCCAGCACACCGACAAGACTTGCCAATGCATCAATGGCATTAGTACTGTCATGCGCGATGCCGGCAAGTGTTGTCTGCTCATGAAAGGTAATCGCCATCTCTAGAGCCCGGCGAAGGAAGGTCATGAGATCATCCTTGTTGGCAATAGCGCCTCTCTCCAAGAGCTGCTTCACGAATGAGGTCGCTGCCTTATCGGGAGTGCTGTGATTGAAGTATTGTCGGATCCACTCCTCAAAGAGGTATTCAAACTGGTCGAGCTGAGAATTCTGAACTAGGTGGCCTGGTGGCAGTACACCCGAGCTCAGGATCTTTGCCTTGAGGCGCTGACTGATTTCGAGATCCGGTTCAGCCATGATCCAACGCCATGCTTGTGGTAGACTGCCAATGAAGTCGCCATACAGAGCAATCGGTCTTTCGCTGCCGAGTGTCAGATCCCATAATCTCTCAAAGTACTCGAGTGCACCGTCCTTGCGTTGCATAAGTGCCGTCTTGGCCGCTTCATCAAGGAGCTGCAGGTTCAGAAGTTCGGTAGGCATCAAGGCAGTGACAAGATGGACGTTCAGGAAGCTCTGCAATGGCTGATTTTCAACCAATGCCTGCACTCTCTCGATGAGGACTGCCCCCGATCCATAGATTTTCAGCAAGGACTCGAGAATGTGGACCAGGCTCTCAAGAATCAGCGAGTTGTGGTCAGGCTGACTGAACAGAGTTTGTGTGATCTTCTCTGCCGCATAAACGGCGAAATCATCAGATGACTGGGATGTTCTAATGATGAGCTGCGTGAGCGCATCGACAGCTTCCATAACAGGATGGTTTCTAGGCAAATCACTGAAATGGTCCTCACGCGCCTCTGCAGCAGCACGTTGCAGCTCCGACAGCAACTTCTGCACCCGCTCTGCAAGAGCACGAGCATCGACCTGGTTGATAGGGGCTACTGCGGGTCGGCCGTTTGTCATGGGAGTTTGCTGCACGTGTGGGTACGGGATTTGGGCAGGCATGTGCGGAGGCATGGATGGAGTCTCCCCAGGGGTCGAGACGTTCGGAGGAACGACGCTGTACTGATCTTGAAGAACCTCGTTGGCAATGTTGCGTGTAGCATCAGAGGCTGAAGCAGCGTGGGTTTGGGTGGCTGGGGCCAAAGCACGCGACTGTCTGCCAAATTCCTCGTAGATCGCGAGTTGTTCTTGATTCAAGCCGCCCATGTTGGGAGATAACTTGTACGGGTTCGGAATAGTCATTGACCAGCGACTAATGAGCGGGTCGATATACGGCTCATTGGGTCGCTGGCGGCGGTGATGACGTCGAGCCTCAAGCTCCTGCTCGATCATCTCTTCAATCTCGGGGACAGCTCGTTCTTCAGCATGCTTCTCGATCACACTGCAGGCGAGATCTAAGTTCGACGTGACGCACATGATGATTGTGCCTTCAGGAAGTGGCTGTTGTAGTTCGCTTGACAGTTGGCGCATGTAGTTGGTGATGTTTGCACGCAGAGGTTCTTTGCTAGTAACCAGAGCCAAACTCCCAGCAGTAGCCTTCACCATCGTAGTGGCAGAGTCGCGAATCCTTTTCTCATCAGCCTCGGTAGCAAAATCTTTGTGGATCATCTGTGCGGTGGAAATAGCAGCAATAGTGACGGATCTATCCACAACAGGCGTAATGATGTCGTTGAGCGCTCGAGTCAGGGCTTGACGAACGATATCGAGCAAGCGACTGGCGCTAACAACCATTTCATTGCTAGGAGGAATCGAGATTTGCGAAGTCAGGTCTGGAATGGACACTTGCACCGGGTGAGGCGACAAGCCTGGTGCGCCTGAGACGCCATTAATCGAGAGATTCTCAAAAGGCTCGAGAGCCTCGGCGGTAGCCAGGTCAGTAATCTCATCGATCTGTGCGCGATGCTGTGAAAGCTCCTGTGACGGCTCGATGCTCTTGTGGTCGAGATTCAAGTCTTTGCATAGAACTTCGATCTCGAACTTCAAGTTGAGCTTCAGATCACCATTGTGGTAAAGTTCGATGAGCAGGTGTAGTATGTCCATTAGCCAAGGATTCGGGGGTCGGTACACAGTAGACCGAACACCTTGAATGAGAACTTTACAGACAAACGGTATAACCACGATCAGCCGTTTGGTATCATAGGCTTCAACTAGGAGTTGCTTGAAGGCAATGTTCCGATGCTTGATGGGCTGGTCTCTGGCAATGGTCAAAAGTCCAAGCCATGCGCCCAAATTCTTCAGGTGCGTTCGCTCCGTAGAGTTTTGCATGGTGCTCTCAGAATTGATCATCCGTGCGACACTAACATACGTCTGTCTCAGCACCTCGGCGGAGAGTGCCTTGTCCTGGAAGAGCCGCACAAGATCGAGGTAGACTTGGTGATAATTAGGTTGCATCTTTGCTCGCTCCTCGACCAAGTGGCTTGCAAACCACTGCTGGTATCGAAATTCGAGAAGTTGTCGAATGTCAGCATGTACGCCTTGGAGCTTGGAGGCCGTGAGATTGTTGAGGCCAAACTGAATCGTATCTTGAATGCTCTCGTTAGGAGTCTCAAAGTGAGCACCAGGAGGGGGTTGGTCCGCATGAACGGACGCAAATGGTGGGAAAGAGCCCTCGCCTGCACCAGGTGTGCCGTTGACTTGGTTCTCACTACCACTATGAGAAGCACCCGTCCCGCCATTTTGGGTTCGAGAAGATTCATCCTCACTATCTTTGGCAACCTCGATCGCCTTCTTCCATGCCTCCGTGCCCTGCAAGCCGGGAATCTGGATCAGCTGATTGCAGAAGCCCGGCCACTCGCGGAAGCGGCTGAACAACTGCATGAGTGCCTGAAGTCCGAATTTGTACATTGACTCATCGGGAGAATGGTCTCGAACAGCCTCAAGAATCATGCCAAGCCCAATCTTGAGAGGCAGTTCTGATATCAATTTACGAGATATGATACCACCGAAGAGTACCGCAGTCGTCGCTAACGCTTCCAATGGATAGTCGGGGAAGTGAGAGTATTCGTCAAATAATCCGTGGATCATGCAAGCGAATACGTCTTGGTCCAGCGGGTCGCGAGAGTGCTTGTATCGTAGGAGAGTGTCTACAATATCCTTTACTTGGATGTCACCGGAGTACATGGTCTTGAAGTGCTCCTCCATACGGACCACTGCCTGCGGAGTAAGCGCATTTCCAGTCGCACCATTTGCATTGATTATGTCATCGGAGCCTTCGCCGTAGTTGATCAACCGCGGGTAGGCAATGATACACTGGCGCTGGACCATGACCAACTCAGGGAGAGGTGATCTTGGCATGAAGTCCTCGAGGATCTGCAGCATTGCGGAAACGGTCTTGACTTGCAATGGCCAACTTTCCTTTCTTGGTGGCTGGCCTTCTGCGGGTCGTTGGAACCGCAATTCCATGTCAGCTTTGATGTGCAGGAATTGCAGAAGTGAGCGTGCGACGTTGTCGGCTTGACGCATGTTGACATTTGCCCACTCCTGAAGATCAAGGTAGCCTTCGGCATGAGCCAAGGCAGCCAGATCATAACCAAATCCATTTGACAGATACACCAAGTCGTTGAGCCAGCCGTGCTTCACAGCATGCCTAAAGATGATGGGAAGGTCCAGTGGCGTTATGGCATGAGCTTCAAAAAGACGTTCCATCACCCAATTTTTATCCTTTCTCCAGAGGCTGTCCATAACAAAGGGACTGAGGGAATTCTCCTTGAGCAAAAATTCGGCGAAAAGCGAACCCATAGTATCCATGGCCATACTAGGCCAAGGCTTTGGAACCCCGAATGCAGACACAAGGAATACATCGAGGTTGGGGATCACAACATGCTGAAACAACCTCTTGGCCTCGTTGCTCTGAGACGCATGAAGTGAGTGCAGAGCGACCTGGAAAATAGCTGACAAGGCGAATACAGAGACAAGAGGATGCTTGATAGCTTCCGCAGCTCTATCGCGGACTTCTTGGGGTGATTGATCGTACTCGTCAAGAGAAAAGGTTGTCTGCAAACCCGGTATAGTTGTCGCGTCCAGTTGCTGAGGTGTCAAGGAAGCGAAAGCGCAAATAAATGCGAGTTGCGTCTCGGGATTGTCCCAATGTGAGCCTCCCCAGAGAGATTGTATATCAAAGGGCAGGCCCTGCCCCTGCTGCGCAATAGGCAGTAGGGCTTGGTAGATGCGCAAAAATTGCGAAGCAGACACCCTCACATCCCGATGATCAAAGTACGAGAGAACTGTTTGCCAGGGAAATGACGCAGGCAGAACACGTCTGAGGCCTGCGACGAGGATTGAGGGGTCATGCCGTGGGGTTTGGCTGATTGTGGTGTATAACAAAGCCGAGGAAACCTGTTCCGCGCTGAGATCAATGTTCTCGGGACGGTTGACCAGGAACTCGCGACAAGCCTCTTCAGTCCGTGTAAAATCGGCACCGGTTCGTTGAATGTATCGGGTGAGTGCATTGGCGGGTTTATCGCCTAGTATGCGCATCAAATCCAACGAGGCGAGAACTTCGAGTGGCGGAGCAGTTTCCAACGATAACCATCTTGCCTGAACCTTGTGGGCGAGCTCCTGCTTGGCAGATGAGTTGAAGTTGGGCGGGTGGCCCTGTACATAACGGTCGACGATTAAAGCAATAAAGTCGCTGTCAAGATCTGCGTGCGCAGGCAAGTCTGCACGCGCAATGATGTTCATGAATGTAGGAAAATTAGTAGAGAGAATCGCATCAGCTGTAGCATTGTCCATTGTTAGCCTAACAGCCATTGATCACAATCAAGACATTGTGAAAGAACGGGAACATACCCTTCGTCTTGAGGTTCGTATCGGAACCGAATTTGAAGGCTAATGCCAGTATTGTCTTTTCGAGAGCATCGAGCTTGAAGTGCTCCATGAAAGTCGATAGGTCGAAATTCCTGAAAACATTGTCGGTACCCGTCTCGATCGATTCGGCTATCTTGCTTGCTTGTTCGGGGTCGTGCGATATCTTTTCCATCTCTGCTGTGAGCAAGGAGTAGTCGCCCGCGTTTGAAGCCGGGCGATTGGAGCCCTGGAAGATAGCGCCGGCATTTTGGGCTACCAGCCGGGCGAAGTATCTGGGAAAGACTTCCATGCCGTGGTCATCGATGAGCTGTGAAGAGACGGAGGTTAGCTGACCGCTTGTGGGGAAGCTCTTGTAGGATATTTGAGACGCCGGCTCCCAGTAATGAACAAAGCTCGAGCTGCAGAAGCTGTCCAACAAGGGATTGAGTGCGACGGCAGCAAATTATGGTCACGCGCCCGTATTTGAGGGAAAAGTCTCAAGAAACCAGAGAGACAGTTGAAGAGAGTTTGGACATACCTTCTTGAGCTGGTCTGCCTGAAGTTCCCACTTAGCTCGGTCCTTGTTGTTGTCCCTGAGTAAGTTCAAGAGCACATAAATCTGGGTAATGGTAATGCTCTTGTCAAATCTGTGGCCACTGGTCGGGCTACCAGTGATGGGGCTTCCGGCGGAGCTTAGGCCTCCAGCCTGGGTGGGCGGTGGTATGGGTGAAAACGTTCCTGATCTCGATTGTGAATGGGTCGCCCGGGATGGTGGAGGGACCATGGGCGTAGGTAAGAGTCGAACAGAGCCGCAGAATGGAAAGGGGAAACGGTGATGCAGCAGCGAGGTCTCGGCTAGTGACTTGATGCCGTTCCGTGTCCTTGCCGGCAGTAGTATGCAGCTGTCAAGCTCTTGCGCGGGCGTGCTCACACAGTCTGTGATGAGGCTGTGGACTAGGCGACTGTGCAGCAGAAGTCGGGATGGGCAACGAGGGCTAGGATGCGCAAACTCCGTTTGATGGGCAGTCTGGAGAGTTGTGCGCGCGTCGCCAGGGAGCCCTTACGAGTTCTTGGGGGTGGTTTTTGGTGGAGAAGCAGACGGGTCGTGATGGTTGCCGTCCTTGAGAGACGATGGTTGTGGTAGCAAGGTGGGAGGTGAAGAGTGGAAGCTGACACTGGGCACCTCCGATAGGTGAAGAATCTGGGGTGCTGTGGTCTGTGCTCCTGCTGATAATGGATGACTGAGTTATGAATGTACTATTTTATGCGGAGATCCGGTGGGTGGTAGTAGGGACTAAATGTAGCTAGGTATCAATGGGCGTTAATAAGAGATAACCTAACGTCGCTGTGTCCTACTTGATTGACCAAAAGGAAAGAAGAAAGACGCTTGTTGCGTCGGCGTCGCAAAGATAACTCAAGATTTGTGTTTCTTGGTAAACGGGGATTGAAAGTCGCAGTCTACCGCGTCGCGACGACACAGGCACTGCACTGGTCGAGTTGCGTGGGGCCTATTTTTTACGGACTGGCAACTGGCCAGTTAATGATGAATGGAGATTGATGGTTCTCCAATAACCTGCATCACAATAGATCCAGGTAAAAAACATGAATATTAGCTAGTTACAGGCAAGCTATGTGCCTTGACTGTGACTGTGTTGCTGAATTGCCTACATTAGTCGATCAATGCCAATGGAATTGCCTGGCAACCTGGCATTCAGCACACATTGCACGTGCCGAATGCAACTGAAGCCAGGCCAAGCATTTGGGCCGCCAGCTGGAGTTTGGCTCGGGGACGGCTGCCAAAGTCCATCTGCAGCCCATTCGTAGTACGCACTCCCGTCATACTCCAATTACGACTGCAAACTGCTTCCCCTCTATTCTCCTGCCGGCAGTCGAAGCTTACATGCATCGAAACAACCCATCAAGCCCATGTACTTCCCCCGCCATTGGCTTGTGGTTTTCATTCTGTGGTGGCCAATCACTTTGTTAGATCAGACATGCCTAAGCGTTTCCTGCTTGCTGGGTATTGGTACTACCATTCTGAGACTTCAGTCTTTGTTCGTTTGAATGCTTTTTTCCCTCCCCAGGTTTCTTTGACTAGCTCATTTCGATATCACAGCAGCCAGAGGCGCATGCGAGCAAAATATCTCGAGCATGACATCAGTACGCGGTGCCATTGAGACTGCCTTTCAAATATTCTGACATTTCAGGATTTTGTACGAACTTGCTCGATGATTCTTCTTTGCATCGTCGTCGCACGTGGTTTCAAGGCTTGAATCAGGTATAATAGATGAGACTCGGTAATTGTAGTCATCTACTAGCGCCAAGCCAAATGTTTGTCTTCCAAAGTAAAGGGCAAACATGTAAACGATCTGCTTCTTCACCACAGATTCCCCCGAGTATAAGATCTACTTTCAAGCGAAGACTCGGACCGCTGATGACAATGATGACCGGACAAACCATCAACAGAACTCTGGTGGAAAAATGCCAAAGATCATCACAACTTTTATTCTAAACACACCTAGGACTACGTTTTAACAATTACATTATAGTAAGTACATGGTGTCTAAACCCTTGTAGTGTCTTGAGAGTCAACCACCCCTCTAGCACTACTAGACAGTCGTAGAGCTGATGGTGGCATTAGCGACCACTGAAGCCGTTGCCAGGGTCGCCGCCGAGGTGGTCGTTGCGCAGACACAGCCAGTTCCAGCAATACTCGTGACGGGTGGGGCCGTGCAAGTTGCCTCGTAGCTCCAGCTCGACACCGTCGTAGTAGCCGGCTCCGTCTTGAGGTTCTGCGCCTTGACGAGCACGGGGATGGCCTGGCCGGTGGACAGGGAAAACGTCCGGTGGCCCAGCACGGACAGGATGCTCTTGATCTCGCCCGAGTGGCTCGTGACGCTGATCCAGGCGGCGTCATCGTTGGAGAAGACGTCGTCGAGCACCTTTTTGCTGCGCACGGCCTGCGCGGCCGAGGTCTCGGCATACGTGCCGTTCCAGAGCTCGTCCAGTTCCGTGAAGCCCGCCTCGATGGTGTATGACGGGAACAGGCTCGCAATGTGTGTTCGGCTGCTGCGTCGGTCGCAGGTGTGGATGCTGATGCCCTCGCGGAACAGCTCCTTGACCGTCGGCACAAAGGGGTACTCGGCTGGCAGGTCCAGGCTGCTAAATGTCAGGTTGGCCGTCGTGGTACAGCGGTTCATTGGGCTCGTGTAGTAGGAACGCGGCGCAGGCATCTGTTGGTCTGCGAGTTGAGACTTCCAAAAGTTGTTGGCCTTGGTGGTCTGGGCAATTCCAGCCTCTGTCAGGTAGGCATCTGCCCATGTCACAGTGCCGTTGCCGTCTTGCTCGGACCAGTAGCAGTTCCAAGCTGGTGTCCCATAATAGGTCTCTGCTGCGTTGTGGTAGCCCTCGCCATGCCTGGCAAAGTATACTACTTTATACTGAGTCTTGGAATCGGCCTCTTCGTTCAAAGTGTTGACATAGTACTCGAAACGCTGCCATTGCGTCTTGGTACCGGCAGGGTCAAATTCTGCGTCTGTATCATATGTGCGGTTGATAAGACCAAAGTTTGATGCAGTCTTGCTGGACGATTAGCTGGTGTTAACGACCTGTTCAAGGATTTGCTTACATAGTCGAAACTGCTCGCATCGGTCGCAGAGTCATCCTGCTGGAAGAATCCAGTCACGGTAGTGTAATTAATGTACGTCTCACCACCATGGCAGTTCAACCTTTGTGTACCAGTCCATTTGCCTGCCTTACCCCATTGCCAAGCAAGAGAGCTGGGGGTCAGTGCCAGGAAAAGAGTCGCTGTTCTGGACAACATTTTGGGTATTGTTAAACGAAGGAAGTGTACCCAGATACAAGCAATAAAACGAAATACAAGTCAGGAAAGAAGAAAGGAGGGTGCACAAGACGTTGACAATTCCCAGGATCGACATTCACCTTATTCGGGGACATGCATGTTTTTAATACACGGGCGATCCGATTCCCCAGCTAAACCAACCCGGGTGAGCCTCGAAGCGATGCTCGCAGCCGACAAGCTCCAAATTAGTCGGACCAGCCTGTCGGGAATCTAGACGAGGGTTCTCACCATGAGTTGCGACCTTCTCTGCATTTTTTCCGACGATTATTGCAGGTCCGGTGGGGATGCACGTTGAATTAACGACATTAGATCTCATGCTCGCTGCAATGGCAAACTCGGTTGTGATGCCCCGAACGGCGGCGGCCAACCAATCGTTCGGGAACGTGAACACCAAAAAGGTGCAAGGGGCGGCCCGCTTCCCAGCTTGGAGACTCCACTCCGGGCTGTTCAGCACACTGGCGCTGACGACAACGACAGGAACCAGGCACAGCTTTGTCGTCTGCACGTGGTCGAGATTGGGATTTGTACAATCAATGTTACTCTTCGGAATAGAGCCGAATTGGCTTGATGACACCCAGAAAGGTGCCAGGGTTGAGACCATACATCATCATTGGGGGTTGCTGTACTCTGTACACTTTGCTGTATGTACGTGTGTCATTGATCTCAGATGCATTTTCTCATGTCTCTTTTGGTAGGCTCCGAGGGGAGCGCACGTGTATAGATTTTTCCAATCTTTTGATATCATTGCAGTAAACGCTACGAAAACGCCACAAAAGAATTAAATGCGCCATATTCTTCCCCTATTGTTCCGACAGACGCCAGCACGAAGCTTTCGACAATTCTTTTGTTCTTACTCAAGCGCCACGCCCTTGGCAGCCAAGGTAACGTAGAACAGCTTGGTCTCGGCGGCAATGACCATGCGGCCATCGCCGGCAAACTGAAAGTTGGCCGTCGTGGTGCCCAGGTAGATCTTACCAATCAGAGTGGCCGAGGGGTTCCAGACGTGCACGCCATCGCCGCAGCCAGCGTACACGTTGCCGTTGCTGTCGCAGTGCACACCGTCCGGTACGCCCGCCGTCACGTATGCAAATGTCATGCGGTTTGTGAAGGTGCCGTCCTCTTCCACGTCGAAGCGGTAGCTGAGCAGAAGAAAATGTGTTAGAGCCATTGACGTTGTACAACGCTAGGTAATGACCAAAAAGAAAATGGCATAGCCAAATTTGCTTGGTGTTAATATGCAAACTCACATGGTAGAAGGATTGCTGAAGTTCCAGCCAAAGAAGCCCATGTTGGCACCGGTATCGGCAATGTACACATGCTCGCCTGATGGCGAAAATGTCAAACCTGGATCATGATCAGCTCGTTAGGTCCCTCATAGTCCAGCATTTGCTGTTCAGGGAAGAAAACGTACCGTTTGGCATGATGAAGCCATCGGCAACGGTAGTCACAGCGCCAGTTGTCGCGTTGAAACGGTAGACCTGGTTGGGCAAGCCCGGTACTGGCCTAAAGTCCTGGACGTAGCCATAGGTAGGGTCGGTGAAGTAAATGTCCTTGTTTCGGGGGTTGACTCCAACATCGTTGAGGGCGTTGAACTGTCTGCCGAAGTAGTTGTTCACGAGGACTGAGTGTCATATTAGCTACCTTGAACGTAAGTCGGCAGAGATGCAATCATTGGCATACCAGTGGTGTTGTAGGGCTCGACGGGGTTCATGAGGAACAATGCCGGAGCAACGTCATCTCCCTGGCCCTCGCCAGCGAAGATGATGTTTCCCTTGTAGTTCGTTCCGCCTACGCATGTCAGTATTTGCTCTGTTCCTTGTATCACAAACAAAGAGGTGAAGCCATACCATTGGGGTTAATGACCTGTGGGTTTGACGGTACGGTGGTAACGGTGATGTTTCCAGGAGCGGTGCCATTGGCCACTGCGGCGGCATCGGCGAGAGAAATCTTCTCGATAATCGAAGACTTGTTCAGTCCGGTGCCCGCGGCCGGAGCTCCGGCATTCTGAACGAAGAAGACCTCGTCAGTGGGAGGGTACCTGGCAGATAGTGTTAGTCCTGCCTTTTTATTTTGGCCGGAACTGCCCAATTGGCGAAAAGAACACATACCAAACCACGGCCTCGTGGAAGACAGGGTCGGACTCGGTCTCGGCAATCAAGGTCAATGTCGGGTTCTCGCCAATAATGTCGTAAAACTCATCATCGTAGATGTGGAATGGCTTGGCGGTGAGCGAGTCTTCAGTGACTCCTGGCCAAAGGAAAGTCTAGATAGGTGGTGGCAGCCTACATGTAAGCCAAGAATTCCCGAAAGGTCGACTCGACTCGTACAACATCCCAATTGAGTGGTTCAAAGTTCGAGGTCGGGGCAAACAAGAAAACATACGGTGGTTGCATTGGCTTCCGACGGTGGCGGCACGGTCTCTAGCACGGCGAATGATTTCTGGTCTATGATCTGAGCCTGATCTGGCAGCGTTCTTGCCGCCGCGGTCCTCGAGAGGGAATCAAGTCCCAGAGGGACGAGAGCTGCCAGAAGTAGTGCGCCAAGTGCCATTGTTACTCCCAATCTGGTCACAATTGATCGACCTTCACTGCTTTCAGTCTTCGCTTCTTTTCCTCTGCCCCCAACAACGTCCCGAGCCTCGGGTTTTGTAGTTCCCTTTCCCCGCATCTGTGGAGAGTTACAATCGTCCCAGGGAAATTACCACAAGATCCTGGGTCGAGAGCCGTTCAAGGAAGACAGGTCAAAACGGCCGGTATGCGGCAGAATGACCTCATCACCAGCAGGAAAGCGAGTCCCGTGGTGGCACTGCGATGCTGTCTAACCCCAGGCGAGCCCTTCGGCAGACGGACAGCCCTGCTCACTAAGGTAGTACTAAGGGAAAAACCACGCCGACATGTGGGGGACCCAGCCCGGAGTACCTTGATGATTTAGGTGCAAGACGAGGGGCTATAAATGTGGAGAGTCCAATCGTTTTCCCTCATAATCCAGGGGTGGTCGGCCAGTGCGGAGACTATGCTTATCTCTTTCGAGGAGATTGCGGAGTTGCTTCGAGTCAGTTGGAGCCTATTTCGACTATGCTGCCGGCCTTGGTTCGGCCTTGGTCCCCTATAGTAGTTCCTTGGCTCATAATGATCATCTATGGCAAGGCCGAAGCATCACATAATCACGGTCCCACCGCAAACATCTTTGAGGCGAAATCGCAGGTTGTGACAAACTGTGAGCAGGTTTCATTGCTCGTGCTGACGTACTAGTTATGCGAGTGTCCTGCTCCAGTTGTTCTAGAGCTTCAATGGAAGCCGCTCGCTTAGACCAAGCTATATGATAGTATACAATGCAAACTCCTAAACATGAGGCACATCGCCAACTGCCCGGATCCTTTGTCAGTTTTCAGCCTTGCTTGAAGCCAAAAGCCATGTACCCTGATGAAGACCAATACCCAAATCAATACTCCCCGCTACCCATCAAGTCATTAAAAATATCTGTCAAAAGGGGTTTGTTCTTCAACAATGCTCTCTCAGTGACCTTGGCCCTCGCAGGCGCTGGCCTCATATTCTCTTTTCCTGCGTCAAATCCAAAACCCTCATCAGCTACAGCTTTCCACGACGCTTTCTTCATTGGAGATCGCGATTGAGATCGGCCACGGAGACCATGACCTCTAGAAGTAACCTGTGTTGAGCCCTCTTCAAACCAATGGCCCTCTAGCGCATCGGCTGGTAGATCGAATACCCAATTCTTGTCCTCCATGAGTTTCACAAATCTGCTCACCATTTCGGCCTCACCGCAGTTGCGCAACGTGTCTCGGCTGCCAACAACCAGCAGTTTTGTCTTGGCACGCGTAAATGCTACATTTATTCTTCTCCAATCTTTGAGTAGGTCACCAATACTATGCTGCTCATTTGAGCGCACAAGTGAGAGAACGACGACCTCTTTATCGCGCCCTTGGAATCTGTCTGCCGTGTGAAGCTCAATGTGAGAGCCGTGAGCTCGTAAGTTGTGCTTCAAGAGCGAAAGCTGACTGCGATAGTGCGTCATGACACCAATTTCGGCAGCTGGTACGCCGACCGAAAGAAGTGCGTCGACAAGTTGAGTCACGATGCTGGCTTCTGTCGGGTTTACAATCCGGTTTCCTTTGGCTTCCTCACGCGAATCTGGAATTAGATCCGTATTGATAAATCGAACGCGGGCCTCTGCGTCAATGATAGAACGCAACCAGCAAGTTGGCTGAGTCCAGTTCGCACAAATTGAGCGTGGGTTCCCCGAGTGTGCCAGTGTCTCAACATCGTAGTGCTTTGAGCTCAGTGCAGCCATGTTGGGAATGTCGAGTTTGCGGTGACGGAGCTCCTCGGTTCCACACTTCAAACGGCCATTGTAGATCAACATGTTACTCAGTGTCATTACATCTTCGCACATGCGGTATTGGTGCTCAAGGTTTACGACCGAGTCAGGATGGGTATCTGAAAGAAGCTTGAACAGACTGATGTCCAAACCCCCGACCCTGGCCTCCTCATTCTGTACCAGTGGCGGGAGTTGATTGTGATCGCCGACGAGGACAAACGTCTTTGCAAGTCGAATAGGCCCGAGGCAAATCGGCAAGGTGATTTGGGAGGCTTCATCCACGATACAGTAATCAAAGGTCCGCTCGTTGAAGACAGGATGGTTGACTCCAAGACAGGTTGTCGCCACGATCGGAGTATTGTGCCAGGCGTCTTGAATCTCATCAAAAGTGTCCTTCCGCTGAGCCGCCAGTACAGCAAAGTCCTGCACTGCGGGATGGACCTTGGCAGGGGCACCTAATCGCAGTATCGGAATCTTATCCTTCTGCAACTTCAGCAAGATATTGTCAACGGCAGAATGTGTATAAGATGTCAACAAGACACTCTTGCCCTGGGAGACTAGTGCCCTAATGATATGTGCGATTGTAGTTGTCTTGCCAGTGCCAGGCATGCCAAGCACAAGAGCATAGTCTTTGGCGCTCATGACCTTGTGAATGGCTCTCTGCTGATCAACGTTGAGGCTGCCTTGGTCTTTGATCGTATATTGAGTCGACATTGCCTTGAATGTTGGCGCTGCAAGATCGACTACGAGTCGACGGATCTCTCGCGACCCAAAGATATCATTGGTCATGATCTGGACCAGATTGTTGCGCACAGTAGCCATGCCATTACTGAATTCGTCCTTGTCGAGCCTGTAGCGAATTGGAGATTTCTTGATTTTTCCCTGGGACAGCGCTGGTGTTGCTCCTTCAGGCACAACTTCCATGATGCTAGCAAAGACCTGGTTATCTGCTTCATCGAACCCAGGCTGGCGGATGCGGGCATTGTGTAGTCTGCGATCCACTGCGACACTGATTTTCTCCTTCCTTACTGCAGTTACGTAACCCAATGCTAAAGCAAAGTGGCCTTGTTCGTCGGAGACCACTATGGGCTCGCCAACCGCAAGCTGCGAATCCATGAAGGAAAAGCCTGCTGCAGGAGTATCCTTGATGAAACTGTAAGTGTAGCGGTTGATCTTCGGACTGTCTTTTTGCTCTGCAGCAGATCCCTCCTCAATCATCACGTTTGCGAAGCATCGGCCGACTTTTTCACGTTCCGAACTCAACATGGTCCATAGTTCTCGCCGTAGCTTCTGGCTCTCCTTCTCTTCTTTTGTCAATAGGTTTTCCCACTTCAGGAAAAACTCTTGATGGATGGGCGATAAATGCTTGACAACCTCATCGAATTTGGTCTTCATACCGCTTGTTTCTCCATCACCATCATCTGCGAGCTTGTGGTAGATGAAGCAGGAAGCCTTGGCATAGCATTTTCCGCAAGTATTGGCATTGCGCTTCATTGGCGGCAGTTGTACGCTGCGTTCTCGGACATGACAGGCCAATTCGTTGCGCTGCATGATCATGTGACGTAGTTCATGACGAATCGTTGGTATTCGAATTGTGCTCGAGTTCTCCATGTAGTACAAAATACCATAGGCGATCTCGATGTCGTAACGGTCAGCCAGTAGTAAGTTGTACAGAGATGTCTGGGCTTGATGATTGCTGGTGGCATTCTTGCCAGTCTTCACCTCAAAGGGCACGGTCAATGTTCTCGTCTTTGGGCCATCTTTCATGGTGACCTGTACAGTCGCATCGATATTGCCCTTGAGACCGTACATTGGCGACCATACGTGCTCTTCCACGTCGAGCAGCTTGCTCACGCACATGATGCCTTTGTCTCCATTGCGCCCTTGAATGACTGCATCAGCCTGTCAATCCTCGTGATTAGTCATCTGTAACATCGTTGGAAGATCTCAGACATACTTTTGGCTCGCCAGAAACAAATGCGGCGGCCCAATGCTGCAACTCAATCATCTTTGAGCGAAGATGCTCGCGAGCGTCGCTCATTGATACCTTGATTTTGTACAGATCTTCCACATGTTTCTCGGTGATCGTTGTGATAAGTGAGTCCAAAAATTTAGTGTTCCACTCATTGGCCATCATCGCCTCCTGAAATATCTCGTGTAGCAACGTTCCATACACCAGGGGCGCGGTAGCTTCGCTAGTCGCCTTCACGCGATCCTGAAGCACGGCTCGACGCATACATGTGAAACTATCTGCCACAACAGTAGCAGATATAAGCTGATCGGGGTGTAGGATGAGGATATTTTGGTTATTGTCAATGATGCATTGCCCACCATTTTGGAACTCTCCAATGACGTGTACAAATGCTTTGTCATGCACGGATGTATCGACCCAGTCACCACGCAGGTGTATAGTCTTCATCACGTTGCTTCGGTCAACCTGAACAAAGAGGATCTGAGAGACATGTGAGTAAAACCCTAGAACCACATGCTTTTGGGCAACACTCACCTTTTCCACACCTAACCTGCTGTTCTCGTCCATGAACTCGGTTTCAACAACCTTGGTGACCAGGTATCGCTGGATTGCCTTAGGCTTATGTGTCGCCTAGAGCACCTGATTTCAGCTCAATTCCTGAGAATTGGGCGACATCACTTACATACAGGTGGTGCCGATGTGCCAAGGCTACTCTGCTGTTGAACTGCCTGAGTTGCAGAGACCTCGGCCGCCTCAAAATCAAAGTCGTCTCCAAAATCATCATCGTACAAATCTTCTTCCGCTTCCCCATTTTTCATCTTCATTACAGCTTCAGCAACCACCGAGTGTTCTGCCAATTGTCGTGGCGTGGCTTGTGAAGACTGATGCGAGTCTATACCAGCTATTATATTTTCTGCTGCCGCGAATACGTCGTCATCCATGTCCCCAAACTCGTCATCACCATCATCCGATTGTGTTGATGGCTTAATTTGAGGTGGAATAGCCGTAAATGTCTCGTCTTGGGTCGTGGTCACGGTACCGCCATCCAGCACCATGAGTGTGTCCTCATCGAAATCAAAGTCGTCATCACCATAATCGGACGAATCCTCCTTTGAAGCGGTGTGTTCCTCTCCTCGAGATCCAGTCGATGTCGTCTTTTCAAGCGATTCAAAGAGTGGCGGCGGTGGGACCCTCCGTTTTGGTGATCCATTTGACATTGGTCCTTGCTGCTTCTTTTTTGGCGATGGGGACTTTAGAGCGTCATGTCGGGCCTGCAAAGCCTTTGAGCGGTTGATCTCACCATCAACACTCCTCAGCAGTGCATTGACCATGGACGCCTTGGTACTCTGGGTCGGGCTCTCGTCCATCATGGTGGTGGGCTGCACGGTGCTTTCGCCACGGTCCGTCCTACGACGCTTCGGCCAATTCGTACCACAACTTATTGCGCGGCGCAGACTGCTTCCAGAGGGAGAGCCTGGCTGAAGGAGACCGTTTGTTCGTATCTTGTTCGTCTGCGGTGAGGAAGAGACCATAATCTGGGCGAGAGCAGGATTGGCAGCTCCCTGAGCAGGTCTATTTGTTGAGCCACTCAGGGCGAATCGGTCCCAGAGCTCCGTGGCGGGATCAGCACTTCCAGACTTGAGGGCTTGTGTCAAGCGCTTGACATTGACAGCAGGCGTGGCCAGGTTCGTGTGGCTCGAGGGGGACGACGTGGGAGATGAGCTACGCGCACGCTTCTTACCCCTTCTTCGGATGATTACAGGTGATATTTCGGGCACTCCTTCGCGACGTTTCGAGTCCCAGAGAATGCGCTCATTCGGGCTAACGTCCTCGCGGTCTTCCTTGTCTTCAGGAATGCCAATTAGTTCCTGCCAGACTAGCTTATCTCGAGGCGTGATGGCTATTCTCTCCGAATTGCATGGCAGCCCGTCGTCAGTTGGGCTATTATGCTGCTTCTGCGGATCGGTATCAGTCGACTGTTGATCCAGAAGCGATTCGTTGCCGTCGGTGTTTTTCGGCACGTTGTCACGGAACTCGAAAGCGTGAAGCTTGTTTTTGCTGGCTTCTGAAACTGGTTGTAGAGGTCTTGTTGTCGTGAGCCGTGCCGTTGTATGGGCCCCAGAATGTGACTTGGAGCGATTCCACGTCTGCTTGGCTCTTGGAGGACCTTGTTGCTCCGAGAAGGACTTCTGAAGGGGCATCTTGTTATCGTGACCACGATATGCGTTCCATAGCCCGTGGTAGGTGTCGAGGTCTCTAATGCTGCGGATCCAACAACGTTCCAAGGACGAACCAAAAAATTAATCGGTCAATGCAGAGCCTGATGACTCCAGACACTGAAGCCTTGAATATGTTGGTAGCGTGTCGTAATGAGTGTATTAGCAAGATGGAGACATGGAAATATTCCCATGGGTAATGCATGCATCCATCGAGGGGCGCGAAGTGAGACGCGTCTTGTTGAATAGTACCAGGACGCGCTGACCCGCGTTCCGTTTGTAGCACCTAGTTGCCCAGCCAGCGTCTCAAGTGCTAACAATGCAAGCTCTGGACCCGCTATAAATTTTGGTCGCGGGGGTTAGCTCTTGGCCACTTTAAGAGGACCCCCGCCATGAACGGAAACCCAAGCACTCGGCACGAAGGCAGGGAGCTTGGACCATGACCCTTGGACGAAACACCAATTCAACCAATATCGTCATCATCCATGATTCCCATTCCATCCGAGAAGCTCAAATATCGGACAACAATCCATTGACAGCACGATTCATGTGCGCAACTCTATAGCGCCATTGGAGGTCATGGTCCCAAGACTGATCTGACTTTAAATTTTCTCTCGGTCAAGTTTTCTTCTGAAAAGCGGCCATGCAATCTGGTACACGTACTGGCGCCATGCTGGGGGACCTCCTCAAAGAGGTTCCCGAGGACGCCTCGCCACGCGTTCCGTGGCCCTTTGCCAATCCGCGCAAACAGGTTGCATTGGAGAACAAATTTTTCGAGGAGGGTGCCACCATTCACTTTGAGAGATTACAGCCCTTGCAGAGCTGGGCGGGCCTATCGGGTTTGAACATGCAGATGCGCACCAACTTTGTCGCCGCCAACGTCGTCCGGCTCGCGTCAGAGGCCAACATGCGCCTAACGCAGACCGAGATCGACAGCATCGCAGAAACGAGCGCCAAGAACTTCAAGCGCGGCGCCTGGGCCGCTCCGACGGCGGCGCTCTTTGCCGGTGCCGCCTTCTACCACGGAAGGGCGGATTACAAGTTTCCATTTTTCAAGCCTGTTGGTCGGGCGTGGTTTCACCCACAGGCCTTTCCGACAACGCGGTGGACGATTTTGAGGGGATCATCTGCGATACTGGTATGGCATGCGGCCAGATGGTTGGCATACTATCCGCTGTTCAAGTTCGCCACAACGATCTTCTACTCTTCCATCATGAAGATGAGCATAGCCGCCGATGTAGTCAAGGATACAAGACTGGCCCGCGTACAAGATGCCATACTGCACCGAATTAGCCCAAACAGCCCGAGAGGGCGAAGAGCACAGCAAGCGCACGACCAAAGTCAGGCGCATGTGGGACAATCTGAATCTGACCAAAGAGACGAGACCTACCGTCGAGTTGGTCTGCCGCCCCCATCACCTGAAGAGATGAGACGATTTCCCCGTCAAAGTCAGACACCAGCAACTGCCTCTTCGGGACAAGGAGATGCGCAAAGCCCAGTAGACTGGGCCTCTACTGAGCGTCAGCAGGCACCAGCACCGTCGCAGAGCAGCCAGTCAAGCTCATGGGGAGACTCGGAACTCTTCGACGATGATGCGTCTCCAGTTTCACTGGCCGCTCGTCGTGCTGAACAGGCAGGTTCGGCCGCGCAACAGTCTGCCCCCGGCGTTTCCTCCTGGGACCAAATCAGACGGCAAGCCAAGTCTGCTACTTCACCTTTCAGCAGAGGAGATCGGTCCGGTCAAGAGACCGCATGGAGCAAAGTGCAGCAAGAGGCTTCAACGCCCGACAGGGGCCGAGAAAGGGGCGGTTCAAGTGACAACTATTCTTACTCGGAAACAGACGAGAAGAGCCAGGCCCAGAAAGACTTTGACGCCATGCTCGAGGCCGAGAGAAAGGGGGAATCGGGCAGCGGAAGCAGGTGGAGGTAGGAGTCTGTTTGCGGACATGACGGCATGATGCTCACGGCAAATGTTGCAACAGTGTGTACCACAATGTACAGATAGTATACTTCCAAATCAATCCATCCAAGATGATCAAGACTTGCAAGACTGGCTTTTGCATTCACGCATTGGGCAAGAATACTATCGAACCTCTTGATTCCAGTGTTGACTTTGTAAGTATAAGATGCACTAACTGCCTAGCAAAATTGGCCGAGCCGTCAAATCCCGTCGTCATTCTCCTGCGTGAAAGTGCTGGGCCGCAGAGTGAGAGATCGAATGGACGGCTTTGTATCAGAGTATATCACATCATGAGCAACAAATGTCTGCAATAAAATGGCAATTCATGCAAAAAGCCAATGTTAAAATTCCTTCCTATGCTTGTCTCGTAACACAGTCTACCATATCTCTCTCGCTCTTTCTCTCAAATCCTCTACCAGCCAACCAGATCCTCTTCCCTTCATCATGATGCATTAAAGACAGCGATAATCCCAAGACCGGTTCCCCTTCTCTTTTTTTGTGTAACCTCATGCGGATGTGTGCATACAACCATCATCAAGTTATTCCCCGCCAAGACGAGCCGACACGAACATGAGGAGCAAGGTTCTTTTCATGGCGAGTCTGTATCAACAGGAAAAAGACTCGAATGGATTCGTTATCTTCGTAAAGCCCAGACAGCCTGTTATGTACTATCTAAAAAAAGGACATTTGGGGGGTATTCGTGACAAATCGAAAAGCAACGAGTAGGAGGATGAAAAAAATCAAGTGGCCAACAAAACAAGACGGGGAAAAAAAAAAGAAAGACCAAAGGCCCAAGTATGTCGCCTCGTCTGACGTGAGGCGTGGGTGACTGGGCGTAGGCTTAAATGGTGACAAAGCACGCCAAATCTCGCCATAGAATTGTAAAGAGTCCAGGGGCTATGGCGTAATATAGCCAAGTCCATATCCCCCCAAGCTCCCTTGTTGCTAGAGGGTGTGCCATGCAAACATAGTTCATACAAGGTTGAAACTTTTACTGACGCCGGAGCCTTTCCTTGGGATATAATATCCAGCTAGTGGAGCACTCTCGCTGGAATCGGATATTCTTTTTTGGATCTTCTTTGATCAATACCGACCTGAGGCCATTCCACCCGTGGGCGCAAAATTGTCGTACATTTCGTCGCTGCTGTCACTCTGGCTTCCGGGGCTCACGGCTCCGCTAACATCGGCGCTGTGCATCCCGCTTTGGAATTCCATGGGCATGGAGCTCATGCTCATCGAGAGAAGGCTCTGTCTACGGCCCATGGACTCCATCTCGAAGGCGCTACCACTGCGGCTCAGCTCCGGTTTCTCGGGCAGCTTCTTGAGGAGGCCCGTCGATATGTCGAGCATTCCCATCGCAAACGCCGTAAGGCCCTTTCCTTCGCCAGGTTTGCTGCTTACACTGAGCGTCCATCGATACTCGGCAAGCCTTCGACGGTACCATTCAGCCTCCTCCCGGCCAGGTGAAGTTGCCCAGAGCAGGGAGCCAAAGGTGCCGATTAGTGCGAAGTTCGTCTTTGATGCGAAGAACCAGAATGCCCTGAGGTGGTTCGGAGTCAACCTATTGACAAAGTCCATGGCCGAGATTAGTCGTGCCTTGGCAGCACTGCGGCAGATCTGCAGCAAATAAAAGTCTACGGCCGACTCGTCGGCAGCGAGCGAACGAATGATACGACGATGAAGCGTTATCTCCGTCGCAAAGTAGGCCAAGTGTAGATGGCCGATGCTCGAGAGACGACCCGACGACATAGCCGACATGGAATTGTCCATCCGAATGACCGCCGGAATCGATGAGTACCATTCCTTCAGTTTCAGCTGAATCGGCTTGGCAAGCGACAGAACGAGATGGATTCCTTGTGGTCCGGCGTTGGTCACATTTTGCATCGCCTGGAGAGTATAGAAGGTATCTTGGATCTCGGCAAGAATCTGGGACAAGTGTATCATCTGCACAAACAGCGTCCGGCCGCGCTCCAGATCAAGCCTCTCCTCCGCATTCTCGTCGCTGTAGTCCACGTCGGGGAAGTCTCCGGGCAGAATAGGTTGTACCACCCAGTTTGTCTGGAAGATGTGCGAAGGTCGTCCGTGGATCAAGGCACCCCATTTGTCTTGCATGTATAATGCCCAGGCAAGTCGTTTCCTCAATCCCTTTTCCCATAATGGAATTTTCCAATGTGTGCAATCAAGGTGAAGTCCGAGCTCCTGGGCAATGGCAACAAGCTGAGCGGTTGGTGCCCACTGGTCTCCTTCCGGCCTTTGTGATAGCAGAAGACCAGCTTGAATGGTGGAGAGCTTTGGCCTCCACATGGCATCGACCAAGGACGTTCTCATGATTCTTTCCAGCCCCTTCACATCAGGACGAGGGTGCACCGATAGCTCTTCTAAATGGTCCCACCAATTAATAGTGAGTAGATATATGGCAGCCAATAGTGGCGGAGAGAATTCCCGGTAGGATCTCTCATACTTCTCAAGAAAGACCTCTTTTTGGATGATTGGAAAGGACGGGTGTATGATGTCGAAATAGAGATCGATCAGTGTTTTTCCATGCGGGGCCACGATTTTCTCAATCTCATCGGCGTCCGCAATCTGGTACTCATACCGCTCGGTTGCGCTGTCGGGAAGCAGCAAGAATGTGTCATGGTCGCTTACTTTGCGCAGCGTTCCTCGAGCCAGCAGGCTCTCATCCTGGTTGTCGAATGGTGACAAATTGATGAGGGAAGGCTCGAAATCGGTGGTCGGTCCAATGTACTGGCTGAAACGGTCATTCTGGAGGCCCAAAGTCCTCTTCATCATGGTTGGCCCTCCAAAGTTGGCCATTTCCTCAATTAAAGAGTTGCTGGCTGCTGTGCTAGAGATACTCAGCGTATCTTGCCGCAATCTTCTGTTATCATGCCGGCCAGGCGAGCTACACCAGCCAATAAAGTGTCAGCCATGGGTCAACTAGGGCTCTTCCTCCGTCTTACATGGGTCGCGCCAGTGCTTCGGCAGTCTAGGTGGGATGGAGGGAGAACGAAGGGAAAAAAAAAAAGGGAAGGGAGGGTAAGGTAAAGCTAGAAAAAGATTGGGGGTCAACTATGGGGGGGTTTATAGCTGATAAAGACTTACCCTCGCAGACCGTCATCTGCAAAGTCACGCGCCAACTTCCTCTTTCGAGGCTGAGGGCTCTGGTTTAGGGAACAGTCGACGCCATTGACCTGACAAGAGACACAAGCGCCACTGTCGTCGTCGTCGCCCATGACACACTTGATCCTCCGACGAGAGCAGAAATCACAGATCATGCTCCCACTCGAGAGTGTGTCCGAGTCTGCAGAATCATGGCCGTTCATGCCAGCAGCATATGCGTCGTGATGCAGTCCTGGTGTGCCTCGGCGGCTGCTGCTGTTGCTGGGGTTGAAGTGTGATGGCTTAGGGGCGATGGCGATGGGAGCCGTCCTTGGGACGGCACTAGGCGTGGCCATGTTTAATAAAAAAAAACGTGGGCGGCAGGCCTACCCTGTCGTCTCGACCGGTCCCTGGTTTGGGTTCTAGATAGCAAAGTGCACCCCCAAAGACGTCCGTCGTCCTGGATCGCCGCCGTACAGTGAGTAGTACAGACTGGCAGGCAAGCAGACACGGCGTTCGGAAGGCCAGACCAGCGGCCCGTTGAGACTATACCCCACGGGTCAAGGATCTTATTCACAGTGTATTGGCCGAGTAGAGTGCTCGAACCAGCTGGAACAGGTAAGATCTGCCGAGGATATGAGATGACTGGCGACTGGACTGCACAAGCAGGAGGAGTGGCCGATCCGAAGAACTCCGGGAATCTCCCAATATAAGGCTGATAAGCAGGTTCCAAGAGATAAGGATCTAAATGGTGGATGGCGGCGTGTGGCGGGCGGCCAACCAGGGCAGGCAAAAGGAAAGGCAGGAAGGCCGGTTCCTCTAAGGTAGGTATGTATGTACGGCTCAGGTAACGGGAACCCGGCAACAAAGAGTCAATGGCCTATTTTTTTCCTTATCGAAGATGGGGGAAGGAAAGACAGGTGTAGTTGTTATTAGACTATAAATCCAGAGTAGTGACACCCCGATAGATACGCCGCCAGTCGAAAGCGCCGTTGAGGCTCGCCTGCATACGGCACGCGCGCGTGGGTCCCCGGAAAGTAGTAGAGACAAGCCGCACAACCACGACTGGTTAATAAGACGTCGGAAGACCAGCCGATCTGGATCCAGGTCCCAGGAATAAAGATCTCAGTCAGGTAAAGAGCTGCTGGCTGGCTTATCTGGCTGGTTGGCTAAGCTCAAGGGTTTCGCCGGGGGGGCAGGCAAACAGACAAGGCAGGCCAGTAATAAGACGGACACTCAAGTCAGTCAGTTAGTTGAGAAGTACTTAGGTGATGATTGCGGCCAGGATGAGATAAGACTGGCTTATCTTCGTCATCGGGGCCTCGACTCTGTATCTGTATCAAAATCGGTGGCTTGCGCTGAGGAATCTAACAGTCCCGCCGGGGTTGATGAAGGGTAGTAATAATAATAAGAGGAGGGAGCTGATAGGAAATGTCATGCGCGTGGGCCGGACGGACGGGGGGCAGGAGGTAAAATGGCCGTTGTATTAAGCAGACACAGCCAGCAACTGGACTGTGTGGCCTGTGTAGTATGCAGACCAAGTGGAAGCTTAATAAAAAAGAGAGACGGTTGTTGCTCTGGGGTGGCCGCCTTGGGGGATGTGACGCAGCCAGGGATTGATAGCCCAGACTTTCAGAGGCTTGCGGAAAGCTTGACAATTTCACAATCACCAGGTGCACGGCGCACGAGCAAGCTTGACTCGAGAGAAGTGAGAGATCAACAAGGCAAGAAGCAGTGCGCAGTATTACCCAGACAGCGAGCGGCAAGTGAGCCAGCAGTTTGTTGTCGCAAGGATGAGGATGATAGTTTACCCCAGATGACAAGCAAATATGATGAGTCGGGCTAAACTTGAGACGGACGGTTGACTTGCAAGTTTGTATCCAGGGCTACCGAAGGATACCTCGGGGCACGGTAATAAGAGGACTGGAGTCAGGCCAAGTGAAGCTACGCTCTGTCACAACACGGTTGGATGAACAATATCGAGTAATGTAGTGGTAGTAAGTAGTAGGTCAGGTCCCCGCGGCTGGGGCCCTTGCTCTTTCTCTCTCTCTCTGTCTGTTTGTTCGTCGTCTGTCTTTCAGTCTGTCATCAACAAAAGCGCATCATCGGGAGGTCGGTCAACCTCCGCTGATAGGCCTTGAGCGCTTACTTAAAGATTGGGTGAAAGCGATGATCACAGGAAATGGGGGCAGTAGTCAAGCGAGAAGACACGGCTCGTCGAGATACGACGCAAAGTATGACATACGGCAAACTCGCTTGGGGCGCATTTTACCTTGCAACTACAACTACCAGGACCCAGGGTTAGGCAAGGTAGCAGACAAAAAGACCGCCAAATGATTGTCGCGCGGCCAAGAAAACAGACTGCAATGAGCGACCAAAAAAAAAACCTACTTTACCCTAGGGAACCTATCCAGAGTCGGCGAATTATGGCTGACAGACTGATAAGCGTTTTCCGTATCTTATCTCGAACCAAATGACAATATAAATAATCGTAAGAATTCCATGGATCAGATGGAAAAGGCTACCTGCAATGCTGGACTGCCGGATGGAGGCTCTTTGCAAGTCCTCGGTACTTCCAAGAGACTTTTGATGAGTTTGGACTGACCTCTGGAGATGGGATAGTGCGCCGAGCCTGTCGGACTTTTCAGCGCCCGCACCGCAATCGATGGGACGCGCTGCGGGGTTTCCAGAATGGAGGCCTAGAATTTAGAGGAGCTGAGTCTTGACGGCTCCGCTTACCGCCCTACCGGTGCTGAAGCACGCGCTGAGTTTCCCGACAGGCGTCGTCGTCGGTGAGCTGCGACATGACACGGCCGCGGAACACACAGGTTTCTTCGCTTTCGTGGTTTCCCACGGGGGACGAACCTGCAACCCACCCAACGATTGAGCGAGTTGCACATTTATTCATGCAAGAGATTCCAGTATCAGGACAAAGAGCACGACAGGTACTCAGCTCGTATCGAATACTGCGACGGACAATGCCAGCAGTGGAGTGAGCATTGCGAATAAGACTCGAGTACTGCTCTCATTACCAAATAGATATCGCGATTCGGTTAGGCCGCCGAATACCTGTAACGTAATGGCCCAACCCAGCCGAGTCAGGCAGGGGGACACAAGAGGAACGCTGACGTTTGGAAAGACGGATCTTGGAGTTGTTTGTTATCGGAAGACGGGGGGTCTCGCACTACTAATACTAATAATAATAATAGTAGCATTGTTGGTTCTTTGTTTTGCTTGAAATCGATTTACATTTGTATTTCGTTTGCCATGGGAGGTTCGGATCATGGTTACTTAAATGGGGCTGGGCTGGGCTGGACAGAGGGCTTGTGCCAGGCCCCATAAGAAGGAAAGAGAGAAGCAAAAGAACAAGCGCTTGCTGCAATCAATGCCCAGCAGCTCGGTACATATCGATAAAACAAAATCGAACAATGCCGTCATTGCGGGCGTTTGAGGCTGCTAAGCTTATTAGTTTGGGTGGAGAGACAAGCTCAAAGAGAGATTTACACCACGCTACTGATACCCAGATGTCAGATGCTGAAGGGTTCTGCGCTGTCGAAACTGCAACACAGAGATACACCATCTTGCTGGCAGATCTGGGTAACCACCAATCAATCCACTTGGGCAGTAAACTACAACCTCCGTACGAAGCAATGGCCAACTGATCGTCGTTCATTGTGGTCCGCAGTTGACGCCCGCAGCCGCCCGCGAGCCCCGAAAATGCCCATTCCCATTGCTAATGTAGTACCATAGCACGGGTAGTAAGTAGAAAACAGCCGAACGGCTAAGGGCAAGTTTGCGTTGGCATGAAATGCCCCCCAATCAGCAAGCATGGACAGGCTGTTGACCTTCAATCATGTACGTAGGTTGTAGGTAATGGCGCTGGGTCCCACGAACGAGAGACTTTCAATTAGCAATTGCCTCATTGGGTCCCTTTCAGCGGGTTTCCTTCCATGGACGACGCTATTATTATTTTTTTTATCTTTGACTTGACAAGCCCAAGTCATCATAATTTCAGGGTCCAAATACCGCTCGCCGCGATCGGTCGTGCTCCTTCAATGCCCCAGCTATGTACATTATTAGTATTCTCGGTTATTATTATTTTTAATAATAAGAACATGGCGGAAAAAATAAAATAAAAAATACAGTATACTACTCTTTTTTTTCTTTCCGAACGATGGAACAGATGACTCCCGTCTTGGCTTTTCCCCCTCCTCAATCTTGGTGACACGGCATCTTGGCATCTGCTGAGATCCGGGAACGAAAACGAATCGACAGACCATGGCAAGATGGATATCGACCCACCCCATGAGACAGACGAAAAATAAAATAAAATATGTAGTCACCGCCGCTCACGTTCCTCCTCTTCCTCCCCCCACGAATTCCCCGCGTGCGACTTGACTCTGGGTGTTTACTCGCAACTCTAAATCAGATCAGCGCGGGGTGGGCGATGTGGGCGTCAGCGACATACCCTTTCGAGCCAAGAACCCCATGCCCCTTCTTGCAGCCATAACCCCAAGACAACCCAGGCAAAGGTCTCGTAGCTGGCTGGCTATATGTAATGGGGCCTCCTCCCCCAAAGGAATCAAACCAGAAGTTTTTGCATTGCAGCAGCCTTGTGAGGTGCCATTCACCCTCCTTGGCGCCAGCAGAGTGGTTCGTGTCTCGTTGAGGCAAGTCGAACATGCCAGGGCCGTTTTAGGTGCGCGCCCCCGCGGCAGAAGGAAGTTCAGATGGTTATTTGCAGTCTTCTCATGTCACTCTGCATCCCCTGTCCGCAGCCAAGAAATATCACCCGACGTGACATGACTACATACATTGCTGGTAGACGGGTCCAGATTAGTACGTAAGCCATAATCGTTGTCTGGTGTGAGAAGAAAAGGGCCAAAAATTATCAATCTTGTTTCAACTTGATATCTACAACGGGGCAAAGAAACAACAAAAACTATGACAATATTCAGGTAGGTAAGGTGGCAATCCGTTGACACACAAATGCAAATCATTGAATGCAGTGGTCGCTTGGCCTGCGGGAAAAGCGGGAGTAAACGCTGCAGGCCACGCTTATTATTGGCCTGGTCAAACTTGGCACTCTCATCCCATGCCTCATCCGAGACTCTCGGTTGCCAGAACTCGGGCGTAAAAGCCACCGCGGCAATGAATTACAATATTTGTTATGCTTGGCGCATAGTGCTCTTCTTTTGTAGCGGTGAGTTTTGTTTGGTCACGAGATTCCTCGATCATTTATTCGCACAAGAAGAGGCTTGAACCGATTAGCTATCTCATACCGCCAGGCTGAATGGTGATGAATGGCGAGACTTGGGATGAGTGAGTCGTATCGCATAGCCAAGAGTAAATTGGTACGGGTGAATCCCAAATTATATGTATAAAGAAAAAGTAGATGATGCTTTGAACAGAGATGGTTTTTATGCCAGATCTCTATTCATGCTTGCCACGTGTTATTTGGGTAAAGACAAATGGACTGAGGGCAACAGCACACTCACATTGTACGTTCACGCGAACCGGTGAAGCAAGAGTCGGCACCTCTGTATAGCAGCTCTGTCGGCGCGCTTGATTATAGAAATTGCAGATAGCTTTAGATTTTTCTTATCATCTTCTCATTAATGTATGCTTGAAGATGAAGGTAAATCAAGCATCTCAAATGGCTGTATTGTAGCAACGAATAGCATTTCTGTACGGATTCAACAGCCTGCTCACCGGTGATACGCAATGAATTGATCTCATCAAGATTCTTGTAACATGACCGGTACCAACTCCCAGCAAGCTGATTCAATCTGGATTGAATGCAACCTCAGATATAAATGGGTGGGATGAGTTTATACAATGGCACTTTATCACTACTACTTCATGGACAATTTGTAAACTGGAACTCCATCGCAACATATGGTCATAATCAATGGCGAATAATGTAGCTGTCACGATTTAGAGATTATGGATTAAGCTGCGAGGAATATAAACGACTTTTGGGCATCACATCGCTTGGTGAAGTGATTCAAGAGAGCCCTGAAGATCTGGGAGGCTTTAAAGTTCCATCCAATTCAGCGCGTGGCCTCGTATTATACTCAGGACGAAAGACTACAGCAAAGGGGGATATGATATATAAAGACAGTAGCTGAATATGAACGAAACGTCTTCAGCATCACAATTAAAAAAGTTATGTTTCTTTTCTTTTCTTTCTCTTTTGAATACTTAATTCTTTTTTTCAATGTTCAATTACAATTTTACTGGGTCTCATCTTGTGCTCACAGTTTTATTGCTCCTTATTTCTCCAGGTTTGAATCCCGATAATGATATTTCAGAGAGACTATAGATATTCAGGTCCGTCAATAGCGAGACCATGCACAAAGGAAAGAAAGTCGCTTTCAACTAGCACGGCCGGATGGCCTTTTTCCAGCTATTCCACTATATCCCAAGTACCTAGCCAGTCGCCACGTACAAAAGAAACTGCAGTTCGCACATAATGTTTTGCAACCATGTTTGGTTGAACTCATCCACGGTATTGGATACGGACCCAGTCGTCCAAATAGGAGAAAAGGTCCATCAAGTCGATCCTCAGCCCCAGCTGGAGAATTTCTTCCACCACAAATAATCCACAACTTGTCAGATGTGTTTTTCCCACATGTCAGAAGGACTGACCACATTTTTTCACCTTCTTTGGCCATATTAATCATCATCATCATCGTCCTCCTCCCTGAACTTATCCGTTTCAAGCAAGGAAAACGAAGAAAAAAAATGAACACCCAATCAACCGGGCAACTTCTCACGCGTCCTGAGTTGCTTTCGAGCCCTGGCGAGAAGACAAGACAGCACGACCACGGCGATAAAGAGCGGCAAGCCCAGGCCGAGTCCGAGCCCAATCATCTGGCCGTAGTTGTACCAGCCCCAGCGTCGGGGAGCATTCGTCGAGACGGCGCTGAAGTGTATGCCCGTGGAATTGGAGCAGCCGATACTGTCCAGCGACGGGGTCTCGAGATTATCGACAAAGGTAACGTCGACGCACTGCTCTCCCCGGAATTTTTTGTCTGGTTAATGTCTCCCCAGTATTGTGAAAAAAGGTCAAATCTGCGGCGGTCCTTCATATGCCCTGTGCTATGGCTTCACTTCTTCTTCTTTTCCCTTTTCTTTTCCTTTTCTTTTTCCCTTGGGAAGTGGATAGGGAGAGACCGAGAGAGCCTAGGAAAGAGAAACTTACGTTATACAAGGCAGCTCCATGCTTGGCCGCCTGGACTATCTGAATCGTGGCATTATCCCCCGGGTTCACCGTGACATTTGCCGGCAGCGGCACGTGGTCGAGGCAGATGCTGTCGTGATACTCGGCATTGGTCGGGCCGTCAATATTGAACACGGGGACCATGACGAGGCTATGGTTCGGGGGGAGGGATCCCAGGCCCATGTTGACGTAGAGCAGGGCCTTGGAATGGCCGGCTTGGAGACCCATTTGGAACGAGAGGATACCGTTGCCGCGGACGGGCCAAGAGGTCCGGTTCTGGCCCACGGGCAGCCCGCCGCAGGGGTATTGCCATTGCATGCCATAGGGGTAGATGGGGTTGTCGGTTCCGTTGGCGAGGCCGATCGACAGCCCATTGGTTTCGGCTACGGTGCCGTTGATCACGAGATTCTCGCCGCGCGAGCCTGGGTAGATGATATGAAGATGGGACTGAACGACAGCCGCCAAGACCATTACCGTCAAGAGGTAGTAGGTTGGGTATGAAGCCATTTTTTGCTATATTGCTTTTTCTCTTGCCTACAGAGACCTAATCTGTGAATAATAGAGGAAGGGGGGCGAGATATTCCTGGGGAAAATAGACGCTTGTCAGTTTTCATAATAGTGGAAGAACATGCCAAGAGAGCCCGTCGGTCATCTGCTGACGAGTCTCTCCCTACTGCTGATATTTATAGGAGCCGTTGAGGTTGCTCAAGCATTCCAGATGTAGCCATGGAGGGGAGCATTTCGTGCAGATACAGAAGCTTGATGGAACACAGCCCGTTGCCAAGACGAGGTCGCCTCAACTCTGATGGACTGCTGTTCGGTGAGCTGTAGCTCGTAGAACTAGCATATTGGTGCACATGCAAACAATGGGTAGCATTTTCCCACCAAAATTCGGCTTCAGTTTGGAGTAGGCTGAACGTTGTTAACCCGCGTTCCAACATCGGGGGGTTAGGACTGGTTGATGGCGCCATTGGGGACATATAAGGCCGGTTGGTCAGCTTGACCAGCGAGGGTGCACAGCGCCGACTAGTGTTTTGCACATGAAGGAGGATTGGCTGTATAATTATAGACGCTCGAGATTTGTACAGAGAATGAGATGGTAAAAGCCTGCCAAGACGTGGAGAACATTCGGCTGCTAACTTGGCGTAAGCTCTTAGGGCTGAAGATCACCAAGAAGGTCCATATGGTCCAGAGCCTCGCCGCAGCGAACTCTAAATTTGGCATAGTCCTACATCAGTCAGACGAGGAGACAAGTCGCGGGATAGCAAGCTTTTTTGTGTAAAGTCAAGCTCTTTATGCAGGAGGCTCTTGGTTCCTGTTCTCCGTGGTGAGTATCGATGCTAATCTTCCCGTGATGCATGTGCTTTTGGCAAATAATATCGTCCAGTGGGGTTCTAGATCAGTCGTTGACGAGGAGTAAATCAAGAAACATCAGAAGTCAGAATTGATGGCTGGAACTGATCTTCATTTTGAAAAGAGAAGTTTTGTTGCCACGCTGAACATGTTGGCTGAAAGCATCGAAAGACCTGGTACGAACTCAGCCTTGTAAAGTCTCCATGGCGACACTACGTACTTGTCAAAGATGCAGTCCTCGATGCATGTCAGCATCGCTTGCCGGTCGCAAGGGGGGGAGGGGGCAAGACTTTTGCATTTGCATTGGTTTCTTCCGGGGGATTTGGTAACACCAAGCAGCACACTGGAGGCTAAGCCCGGGGGTTATGACGGACTAGTAAAAATGCCCGGCTGTCAAATTCGGCGTTCTGCAAGAAAGGCAAAATCCTTCCGGCACGGAAAGGACAATGTATCTTTATTTTTTCGGCCCGCGATTTTCTCGATTCTTGAATTCTTGAAGATTGAGAGTCAAACAAGAAGCAAATGATTCTCGGCCGAGTAGCGGGCTGAAAGGCTTGCTTCTCCATGATATGTTCCCACGTTTAGTTCCACTTCTGCTCTTTCTCGTTCCTAATGTTCAAAAGGACCATAACGCATTTGATATCTCTCTTGAAGTTTTTTCTCTTGTCCAAAAGGACCTTGCATGATGGCGACTCCACTAGCCATGATCAATGTACCGGTATTAAAACGTCCATGCCCGCACTCTTATGAAAAAGTGACTTTTGTCTTTGTCTTCTCTTTCTTCTCTCTGTCGGAGGGATCATATCATCTAGCAAAACCACGCGGCCACTTCCGTTTGAAAGTACCATGCATTATGGTCTAGCAAAAAGTCCCACTTTGGGTCGGAGCATTAATTCATAGATAAAGAATAAAAAAAGAATTAGTCACGGAGAAAAAGCAATATACAATATGAAAGATCGTCATTTTGTTAAAGTGAGAAATCATGTTGTTGTTTTTAAAATCTCAGCCTCAATCACCTGTGATGAACGTTTCTTTTCTCTCTCTCTCACGCACAGATTTCTTCAGCCCTCTGCGCCGATATCGTAAGCGAGGGTGATTTATGCACGATCTTCCCGTTTGAGACAAATGCATCAAGGCGGCCACCGCCCCAAACCCCACTTAGTATACTGGTCCCACGATGTTAACGGCCCTGTTGTGCAACAACGATATCTGAACAATTCCAAGCTTTTCCGGACACGTCGGAGGCAGTTCCGACGCTCTTTGTACGTAGCCCATCCCATAGATTTGGACACACGCAACTCGTTGAAATCCTGTCTTCGGGTGCTTTGTTGTTTGGTAATCCTACCAACGAGAGAGAAAAATCCTGCTCCATTGCAGAAGTACCACACATTTGGCAAAAGGACCTTGCATATGGGATTTCCGGGGTATCAGCATCCAAGTACCAGTATAAAACCCTCTACGCCCCAGGACCATATTGAAAGTGACTTGGTCGACCCTCAAGACTCTGTCTTTTTCGTTTGCAAAATTCAGTCGTTGAGCAAAAGTACGACAAAAGTCCCATGCATGAAAGCATCTTTTCATCGAGTCAAATATCCACATATTCAAAGTGGTTGGATTCCATACTGCTGATGGCCGAGGTTGTTTTCTTTCTTCGAATCCTGATACCCGGAGATCTTCCACGATGTATTCCTGCTTGAGTTTTGTCTCATAATACTCAACAGCCTTGGCTTGCGATGTGCTTTCATTCTTCATCGCTGTCAATAGAGAAGTGAGTCGACTGGAAACAAAGAGCCACTGGTTAATGTACAGAGACCGACTCGAGGCTGCGTCAGAGGGGCGCGGGACACAGTATTACTGCCTGTATCAGCAATAGGCATCTCGTAGCTGCAATGCAACACCCAAGATCAAAGCTGCCCCGGAAACGGCTACCTATGGCCGGCGCGGGCAGGAAGATCAGCCGTCAAGAAAAAACACGTATATCCAACATGCTGCAAGGTGCTTTGGCGACCAGGGTACGGGTGGCAACACCAGCATGTGGAAGTTGATAAATGTTCAGGCAACGAGAGTCGGATTACTTGGACGTGGACAGGTACGTACTGTCTCCGATGATGTGCCCGTTGGGCAGGCTTTTGCCCAACTAGAGGGTCTAAGGGGAGACTGAGGACAGGAAACTTCCTGTCAACCATTGCCGATTCTCGGTGTTCACTTTGACGTGATGCCGAGGGTACTTTTCTTCAGCTTTGTGGATGGGACTTGCAACTACGAATCAATGCAACAGCCATGATGTTTGTGCGTCGGTCTCTGGTGGGCAGGCCACTGGCGATCAGCGACAGAATCAAGCTGATGCATTGTCTCGGCCAAGTTGAGACACCGTGGCGAGCTCACGGACGTCCGTAGCTGTACCCAATCATGACTCGGAGGTTTTGCCAAAACTTCTTTCTGCCTCAGGATGATGGCACATTTGCAGTGGTGGTCGTAACAGACTGTTGAACTTGAAAAATGCGGGAGTCGAAACCGGTACCTGATCCATCTTGCAAACCCTCGTAATATGACTCTGTCCACGATGTATTTCCTTTCACTTGGGTAACCTCAATATGATCAGTCTCTAGGAAACGATGCCCATCACGAATTCTTGATCTCGCGTCGTAGAGTGAAGTGATTGTACCCGTCTTGATACCATGTACAGATACCTGGAGGTGGTAATTCTGACTGCCTCATTGATGGACTGACTGACAAGCCAAACAAGCAAGCCATATCATCGTGCTCTTGCGTCTCCAATATGCCAAGTGTTCTGGCAGTTCTTCATACGCCCTCTTGCATGAATCGTACCTCTGCATCAAAACCAAGCAAGGCAGAAGGGTTACAATGCTCAGACAGACATGAAATACAAACAAAGATACCACACAACCGTTTCATATCCACCAATTCTCTATAGGACGGAAGGGCCACCAATTGCCTATTCCAGTTTACAAACCCCGAATCGTTCTTTGCTGTTGTATACTGGGCCCAGAAAAACCTTTTCCTGCCCAATAGACACCCTTGCCCCGACCCGATAGGATCGCTATCCATGATCATGCAGCGCAACCAACATACAAAACTGTCCACCGTCTATCCAACCAATTGATTCTGTTCATGTCGTACTTTTGCAACTTTCAAATCGTTCAAATTCAATCTTGTCGTACTTTTGCAATTTTGACAAAAGTACGATTCAAGTTCTTGAAGGTCAATGCGGGTATAAAAAGGCAAGAGTCCCCAAGCGGCCTGCTCAGCCCAACCCAGCCCAGCCCAGCCTGCTCTCAAGCATCACCACAGATTGCTTGTTTCAGGTCAGCCACTCGACGATTTCTTTGCCATTGAAGGCCGGGACATGGGAAAAGAGAAGCAGCCTTGAGGAGGATAGTGTGAAAATGAGAACATGTAATTGTGCCAACGGCAATCGAGCTCTACCTCTGGAGCTCTACCTCTGTCAAGCCCAAAGCTTCTTCACGATTCGCCCTCATAAAAATGTAATGCAATCGCCTTTCTGTATATCCGGGACCATTCTTGCGGTCAAAGCAACCTCCCCCTAAAACGCCATCCGCTGAAGAAGCAATGCTGTACTGTTCTTTGATGGTTGAGCCACGTTTGGTGGTGACTACAACCCAATGACGAATCCGCATGATTCCACCGTCTAGGTCTGTGCATCGGGGTCAAAATGTTGCTCCTTCACGTGCTTTTGTTGCAGACCAAGAAATTCCACCTATCAAAGCGACAATGCAGTACCAGAGTACTCCTACCATCACTGTTTGCGATTTCCCATTGACACGGCGCGGCCATGCCGGGCATCCGATCTAGGCATGCCGCGCCGAACCGCCGGGCGCCGAGCAGATTTCTGTCGCTGTGTGTCCGGCAGCGAGACCGAAAACTTCTGGACAGGCTGCTGCTGTAGTCCGGCTCCCGCGAGCACCTGCTGCTGGGCCTCTTCGCGGATATGTTCTTCGATAAAGTCGTATTCCTCCTAGTCTTGACTTGCAGAAAGATCCATATTTTTGTCCCAAAGATTCCTGAGCAGCGCTGCAACCCCGTCGTCGTCGCCGCCATCTACATAGCTTGATCCGCTAAGGCCGCCCCGGATCCCTTCGGTTTCATAGCTCGAGTTGGCGCCATTAAGTCGAACTGACGTGTTCCGCTTGGGTGTTCCTGGCCGTGATCTTTGTGTGTCCACCAAGTTTGAATTGTGCCCATGCCTTGCTGCCGAACCCTCTGGCGCTTTCTTACCATGCACAGAGCCATTCGCACCATTCTGCTTGGGGATATGTAGTTGCTTGTTGGCGCCGGGCAATTGTTGTAACCGCGTAATCGACCTGGCAACTGGATTCTGGTAGCGCCGAACAACCAGGTATTCCTGTCCAGTTCGCTCAATCAGCTTGCCTATACGCGGGTCGCGATTATCGTAACCAGCTCCGCCGAGTAGGGGACTTGCGCCCACAGCACCCAGGCCTGCGCCTCCTGCTGGAGCTGGTTCCATGCTGGAGCTGGCACGCTGCAAGTTCAGCTTCTGTTGCGTACGGGACGTATCGGCCGGCGCAACCTTGGAGCCGGACCTCCTTCTTGCACGGGGCGCCAGTGCGCTCTCATCATCTTCTTCATCGCGATCGTCTGCCGTAGATGACCTTCGCTCTTCATGCAAGTTGTTAAGTGACTGTGGCCGTTTCACGCGTGTAATGGTGTTGGAGGGCGTAAAGAAGGACCCCGAGTCTGGGTTGTATCCAGAAGCTGGACCACTCACAAAGCGCGAAGTCAGCTCGTCGCCCGACGTGCCAATGCTAGCACCAGCGACCTTTGGTGAATCATATGGTGTAGACGAGGTGTGACTGGCGGGCGACTTGGGGGAGACGGGTCGAGGTGGCACCTGGGCCGTCTCGGAAGACATCTTGGGCGGCGCGCCGTGCGACGGAGTCCTCTGGAGTAAGCGAGAAGTCAAGTATTCCTTGTGCTGGACCCGCTCGCGATCGGGGGTTTCTTGGGTTGAAGGGGAGTTGTTGGTTGTCGGCTGCGCGGTTTGCGGTCGCGAACCGTCTTCGTCGTGCGGCTTCGCTGAACCCTGGCCGCTGCTAACGACAGAGCCACGGCGCGACAGATAGGGAGAGGCAGAGGCACTAGCATCTACCCACTCGTCATCCTGACCGTCAGTGCCCAGGTCGAAGTGAACGGAACCCTTGGTGCCCTTGTACTTGTTTGTATCCTTGGTAACGTCCTTGTGGGAAGCGACGCGCTTGATGTTGGCAGTAGACTTCGACTTCTTGCCCACTTCAACGTGGGATTTGTTCCGCTTGAGGCTGGTGTGAGAAGCGTTCTTCTTGAGGTTGGAGGTGGAAGAGTCGCGGGTCAGCCTCACGTCCGAGGTGGTGCGACGGTGAGCGGCCGAGAGCATGGGGGGACGCTCGGGTTGTTCGGGAGAGAGAATGGGCTGCTGCTGGTTGCGATTTTGGTGATGATTGTTGTTGTTGTTATGGTTCAGTTTCACATTGGAGGCGGCGTGATGGGATTTGTGCAAGGTCTTTGACGAGGGCACGCGGGAACTCAAGCGCCCACCGCCGACGAGATGATGCTTCTTGGGGCGGTGATGGGCCGGTTGAGATGCATGGTCGGACACCTGCGAGTCGCTGTCATGCGAGACATGGTGGTTGAGCGGCGGACGTTTTGATTGGCCTGGCTGAGCTGCGGCGTCGCTGTCTCGATCCCTGGCCATGTCTGATGCTTGCTGCCTTTGCCTGCCTATCTTTGCTTATTATATATGCGCTGTATCATTCGGCGAGAAACGGCGGTGGGATTGATTTGACACTTTTTTTTTTCTCAGTGCAGGTACTGCAATGAGCTGGCTGCCCGGTTGGCGGCTGATGATATAAACGGGCTGCTGCTTGCTCGGCTTGCTTGTCTTGCTTTGCTTGCCGACCTTATTCTTTTTTCCGCAATTGGACGCAAGAAGAAATTCCCGAATAAGCTGGTGATGACTTGTTGGAAACTGCGCGTATCCGATTGGCAGGCCGAAAAACGCCCCAACTCGTGGCCGGGCCAGAGAAGCAAAAAACAACAGAACCTGGCCAGGCAAGGGAGAAAAAAAGAGTTTAAAGCCTGCTTGGGTCAATTGAATTGAAGCTTTTGCCTGCCGCTTGAACACACACAGCAGGGGGGCTGAAATCGGTACTCGCGTCCGTTTCTGTCAATGGGGGAAGCGTTTGTTCGTCTTTGTCTCGGGTTGTGTAGGTAAGGTAGGTAGCATTTGGGGGGATACAAGGTAAATCAATGGGAGAGCATTGGAACCCGGCCAGAACTTCCAAGGTCGGTCGGCTTTTCAGGTTCCAAACAGCTAATAATTGTGACGTCGGGAAAAGGGAGTCAAAGTGGATATCCATCCACTCACTGCTTTGAT